TCCCCCCACTCCCACCTGACCGAGGGGCTCTCTGAGGAAGGGTCCCCCCACTCCCACCTGACCGAGGGGCTCTCTGAGGAAAGGGTCCCCCCGCTCCCACCTGACCGAGGGGCTCTCTGAGGAAGGGTCCCCCCACTCCCACCGACTGAAGGGCTCTCTGAGGAAGGGTCCCCCCACTCCCACCTGACCGAGGGGCTCTCTGAGGAAAGGGTCCCCCCACTCCCACCTGACCGAGGGGCTCTCTGAGGAAGGGTCCCCCCACTCCCACCTGACCGAGGGGCTCTCTGAGGAAGGATCCTCCCACTTGACTGAGGGGCTCACCTCCGGTGTGAGGCGTAATTTCCTGTGATGTGGCCAGAGCCATCGCAGCCGGGTGTGGGGCACCTGTGGAGGGAAGGGAGGTTGGGGCCTGTCAGTGAACAGACCCATCCACTCAAGGAGGGAGCCCTCTGCCTTCCTCCTCAGCATCAGGGTCCCACAAATGCCCAACCTCTGTCAGCACTCTCCACTGATGATGCTGGCACACCACCACCATGCCAACAACACACCAACATCATGAAGTCTGGACATGGTGATCTCAGCACTTTGCCATCCAGGGAAAACCCAAAGGACTAAAAGCATCTGTTCCACACAGACACCTGGACATATGGACCATGGACTGAAAACACCCACACAAGACAGGCAGTGCCCAAAGCACCAGGAGGTAGGAGGTGGCCCAGGAGAGCAGGCTCGAACCCATGGGCCAGGCCATTTTATCACAGGAAGGCAGTGGTGACAAGGGAACCAAACCAAACCAAAACCAAACTCACGGCCGTTGAGTCAGATCGGACTCTTAGCGACCCCTCCTTGGGTTTCCGAGGCAGTATGACTACGGAAGTAGATTGCCCAACCTTCCTTACAAGGAGTGGCTGGTGGATTTGAACCGCCAGCCTTCTGGTTAGCAATCAAGTGCCTTAGGCGCTATGCCACCAGAGCTCCCAACACTATTAAGCACCGACGGTGTGCAGGTGCAACACTAGCGGCTGCTGTGCCTTTAGGGGGTAGGTGGGGAACGCCAGCAGAAGGGTGCAATGCTGCACCCATGATGGCTGCTGACTGAGACACGGAGAGTGAGAACAACCCCACCCTGACGTTATAGCAAAGGCTTCTGTCCTCCAAGTGCCCACCGAGGAAGACGTGCTCCTGCTCACTCCTGTTGGGAATGGAGTTTGTGGTGGTTCCAACTCCTGCTAGTGTGCACCCTCCAGGCCGGCCAGAGCCTGGGAAGTCACTAGACGACATCCACTATCCAGAGTAACCCAGCACAGGGCTTCACGATGCTCATCTCCCACTAGGGGCTGTGACCATGTCCACCTGAGGCCTTCTGCCTGGAGACCTTTGTGGCGGGCAGCTCTCCCCAGGACACAGGGGTCAGGCAGCTTGTGGCTTCTGAAGGCCTCCTGGGCACGAGCCCCATCAGCACCCCTCCTGTGGCCTCCCTAACATTGGTCCCTGTAGGAACCAAGACCCGAGTCTGGGCCAGGCTTACAGTTTTTCTGTGCTGCCATCCAGTCCCTGAGAGGCCCCTGGTCTCTGCCCTGTGGATGCCGTGCCAGCCTGTTGGCCAGCCGACTGATCACTGTTCTCCCTCGTCATATGGGTCCCTTGAGCTTGGCTCAGCTCCTGTCACACTGGCTCCTGCCATCACATGTGGTCACATTTGCACCACAGGTTTGGGTGAGGCAGCATCTCTGTTGTGCCTTGAGATGGGCCTGCACCTTCTCCACAGTCCCCAGCTCCTCTAACATCATCCTGCTGGGCAGGTAGGGTCCCATGATGGCCTGAGGTCCCAGTGGTCCCAGGTGCACAAGCTTAGGGGCCACCCCTGGGTCTCTGTGGTGCTGGCCTTAGGTGTCTCAGGCCCTGCCCCTTGGTTGCACTGGAGAGCCAGATGCAGCCTCAGCAGCCTGCCACCCTTGGGATGCCCAGGACTCTGTGGGTGCGCCTGGGGGCTCCCTCAAGCCTGCATGCCCTCCCTGAGATGATTCCCCTCCTCTTCCCAAGAGCTGCATCCAAGGATGGGAGCTGTGTCTGAGGTAAAAGGCCTGGGACAGGCCCATCTCTCCAGGGTGTCTGCTCCCACATTCTCTTGGCAGAAGGACTTGCCCAGGCTGGCAGCACACAGGCCTCACTCCAGCCCCTTCCTGCCTGCTCATGGGCCAGCTATACACCCACACAAGACAGGCAGTGCCCAAAGCACCAGGAGGTAGGAGGTGGCCCAGGAGCCCAGGAGGAGAGGCTTCAGAGGGAGTCGGGATGCTGGCGACAGTGCTGAAGCCAAGAATGACTGGCTTTCACATGAGGAGGACCCCTTGTTGCCATTTTGCAGGGGGCTCCATTAGTGCCTCTTGGCTCTCAGTTGGGAGGTGCCAGCCCTTCCAGGGACTGTGTCCGGACTTGGTGCCCAGGCTCTCCACCCACCCGTGTGGCCACACCCAAGGTCAGTGAGCTGGCCTCTTAGAGGGGAAAATCACAAAGACGCTTTGTCTAGTTCTAGAAGAGAAAGCAGAAGTGAGAACAAGAACACTGACAAGAGAGGAGAAGTAAGTGGGGTCAGGGCGGGAGACAAGGTCCGGGCCTCAGAACACTCTCTGCTGGAGCTGCTTGGTCCTAAGAAGAGTGACAGGCTGCAAACTAACCACAGGCTCCACTGGTCCTGGGGCACCAACACACCCAATCCTCCTGACTGCAGCTGGGGAGGCCTTACGTGGAGGTACTTGGCCCCGCTCAGGCATCTGGAGCTTTCTGTCCTGTTTCCAAACCAGCTCAGGTCCTAAGCCCTCGGCAGCCCCAGTGCCTCATCTTATAGTCGATGTCCTGCTCCCATCCACCCCAGTGCACAAGAGCCAGGAACATGAGCTTGGAACAATGGCCCCTCTACAGGCAGAGGGCAGTGCACAAGGACCGGGAGAGGGACTGACTGAAGAGAAAAGTGGGCCCTCTGGTGGCCAGGCTCAGAGTTGCATGGCTGAAGTGCCACAGGCAAGGAAACCAACCAAACTCACTGCCAAGTCGATTAGACTCACAGCGACTCCTCCTGGGGTTTCCAAAGGGGTATCTCTATGGAAGTAGATTGCCCAATCTTCCTTCCAATGATTGGCTGGTAGGTTTGAACTGCCAGCACTCTGGTTAGCAGTAAAATGTCTTTGGCACTATGCCAAGGCCAGCCCCTAATTCCAGCCCTGATATTTACTGACACCTGGGAAACCTCTGGTCAGAGCAGGCCAGCTACAGCCCATGGCAGAGCAGAGGAGCCGACTGCAAGAGCAGTAAAGCCGAGAGGCCTGAGATGGCAGCCAGGGTCTGTGGGAGCAGGGCAGAGGGCGGCAGGGACAGACGGGGGAGGGAGTGTGGACAGACAGGGATGGCAGGGGTGGACAAGGGGGTGGAGATTGAAAGCCTCCTGGTTTGTCTCTGCACCTGGCTCACTCAGCAGGAGCCACAGGCTGTGGCTGCTGGGCCCCAGAATGATAAGCTCAGTCACTCAGAGCTGTCCCTAAATCTCTGGGACAGCATAGAAAGCAATGCCCAGGCAACCCCAGTGGGCTTCCCAGGAGAGGCTGGGCTGTTGGAGGCCCCAGGGCAAGTCCTGCACCCCTGAAGAGGCTGGCAGATTCAAGAGCCATGCAGCAGCATGAGGGAGCCTGTGGAGGCCTCTGAGGGAAACAGTGGGCCTGGCCCAGAGGGGCCCAGAGCAGGGGTGCAGAGCAGGGGTGCAGAGCAGGGCCATGGAGTAGAGGGCCAGAGCTGGGAGCACAGAGTAAGGGCGTATAGCAAAGGTGCAAAGCAGGGGTGCAGAGTAAGGGCCCAGAGCAAGGCTGCAGAGCAGGGGCCCTGAGCAGAGATGCAGAGTAAGGGCCCACAACAGGAATGCAGAGCCAGAGTGCAGAACAGGGGCATGGAATAGGGGGCCAGACGGGGCCCCAGAACAGGGAGTACAGACTAGGGGTGCAGAGCAGGGGTGCAGAGCAGGGGTGCAGAGCAGAGGCGTGAAATAGGGGGCCAGAGCAGGCAGCACAAAGTAGAGGTGCGGAGGAGGAGTGCACAGCAGGGGAGCAGCACAGGGATGAGGAGCAGCTGTGCAGAGCAGGGGCCCCAGCCAAGCAGATTCGGCTCCTCCGTGGCCCTGCCTCCTCTTTCCCAACCAGGAGGGCAGAGGCCATGGAGAGGCTGATTTTGGCTGGAGCCTTGTGGAGAGAGGACAGCGAGGGGGCTGCCCAGGGGACAGGCCAGGGAGCGCAGACGTACTTGAGGTCAGCAGAGTGGGCAGCCATGAGGTTTCTGAGGCTCTTGTCAGCAAGAGGGCAACCAGAAAGGCTGAAAGAGAAGAGATGGAAGATGAGGGTAAGCGCAGGGGCGCAGAGCAGAGAGAGAGAGAGCAGACCCACCACGCAGCACCCAGGCTCAGCCAGACCCAGGCGGACAAACCTGCGGTGGGAGGCATAGTTTCCAGTGATGTGGCCGCTGCCATCACAGCCAGGGGTGGGACAGCTGCACAGAGAGAGGGAGTGTCAGACTTGACAGTGGCACCCACTCACCCACCCACCCTCCTCCTGGAACTCAGCCCCCACCTCTTGGCTTGGTTCTTCCTAAACAACTGCAAGAAGAAAGGGGACCTACCTGAACTGAGGCAAGGTGAGGTAGAATTACCTCTGAGGCAAGGTGGGGCATGTGCATGTGTGTGCACATGTCTGGGTGTGTGCATGTGTGGGGCATGTGTATTTACACATGTGTGGGTGTGTGCATGCGTGTGCCCATGTGTGTGGGGGTCCACATGTTTTGGACATATGTGTGCATGTGTGTGAAGACACGCACATATGTGTGTGTGCATGGGGCATTACTGGCATGTGGGCATGTGTGGTGTATGAACATGTGCATATGCATGGCCACTCCATGGAAGGAAGACAGGACAATCTACTTCTGTAAAGATTTACCACCTCAGAAACTCAAAGGGGGTTGCTGTGAGTTGGAATCGACTTGATGGCAGTGGGTTTGGTTTTTGTTTTGGTTTTTGTGTATGTGCTAACGAGTATAGAGGCCAAGAATCCCTTCCCTGAGGCCCTGAAGCAGGATGGCCATCCCTAGGGCTAGAGCTGCCTAGGAGGGGTAGCTACAGTGTCAGACCAAATTCAGGGTGCTGGGCAGGACTGGAGGAACCCAAGAATAAACCCTAAGTGAGCAGGAGGGGCTCGTCCCCAAGGCCGATGAGGAGTCAGGTACCACATCTGGGTGGGAAGACTTCTCCAAAGAGGTGGCCTGGCGCGCGCCCACTCAGACACTGCATGAACCTTGCTGATGTCACCCATGGCTAGTGGGCAAAGCAGTTGCTCACAGCTTAGAGGGGCCATCCTACAGCCAGCTGAGCAGTGTTAAGCTGAGGCAAGGGCTTAAACGTACACCCTTGTGCACACACAACATGCCCTCACAGTCCTCACAACCTTTGCACACCCTCACACACAACACACCTTCACAGTCATCACAAGTCCTTGCAAACTCTCCACAGAAACACACGACACATTTTTGCACACCCTCTCACGTTCTCACACGACATGCCCTAGCATGTCCTTACATTCCCTCATGTACCCTCACATGCCGACACACACTGACATGCCTACACAGCCTCTCGACTCTTGCACACCCTCACAAGTCCTCACACTTGACTCGCCCTTGCATGCTCTCACACACGACATACCTGCACATGCCCTCACACATTCTTGCACGCCCTCTCACACCCTCACAAGACACACTTTCGGATGCCCTCTCCCCCCACACACACACACAACACGCCCTTGCACATGAGCACATGCAGGCATGCATGTACATCCAATGTAGTCTTTGTCCTCTAAGGCTGGAGGGCAGCCTATCACCAGGCACCGGACCTGGTTGACCCATGTTCGATGAAGGCATGTTCCCTCCAGACGTAGAAGCTTCTCAAAGGATTCCTGCCGGCCAAGGAGTGGACTTACGTGAGCAGCTCTTTCTTTATGTCCTTGGAGAGAAACTTCAGCTTAAAGTTGGTTAGGGTGACTTCCCCTGGATATTTCCGCTCCTCAAAACTCTCTTCCAACACTTCCTGGTCATCTGCTTCAGAAGAAGCGAAAGAATGAGCTGCTGGCTCCGACTGCAAAAAACCAGCAGGGAGATGTTTTAACAACAAGGGCCAGGTGGGCGGTGGGGCAGGGTGCCCTCAGACAGTGTGCAGAGAGGCACCTCCTGGTCACCCGTCTTCTCTCCAGGTTGAGCTCTCCTGGCCTGGAACCATGCCCTGAGGGGCGGGGTCCCCACGCAGCCAGAGGCTACATTGCTGGGGCCAGCAGATGGCTGCCCCCTAACACTCCCACAAACTTCTTCCTCCCTGAGTGGAACTGGCCTGGAGGCTGCAGGCCGAGAAGATGAGAGGCAATCGCTCATGAGCATGCCAACATCGTGAGAAAAATCATCCAACACACTCAAACCAGCCTGCTGGCTTCAGGGCTCCTCTGTGCCCAGCTCCTCATCCGTGTGCAATCCCAGCACCCCCAGGACTGGCTGAGGGGGAAAGGTCGCGCCTCTGCGGCATGTGCGGGAGCAATTGTGGAGCCCTGCTGCGCTGTTGCTATTCCATGTGCGGAAGGGAAAGTGCCTGTGGAACCTGAGCTGGACAAGGTCCCTAGGGCCACTTAGGGCCGAACCCTCAGAAGGAGAGGAGAGGGTGCCCAGGGCAGGGGTCTGCTGTGTGTCTTGGGGCCTGGGAGTGAGGCTCCACTGGAAGGCAGGTGCGGAGAGGTCACCCAGAAGGTTATAGTTTGGGATTAGAGGAGTTCAGGGCAGAGCTAAGGGAATGGTCTGAGTGGGGTGGGGAAGGGCTCCACTCAGGAAGCACGGCCTGGGCAGATCCAGTAGGTCTTGACGGACATGTCGACAAAAGAGGAGACGAGAAGAGAGCATGAGTTAGGGGTGGCCCCAGAGTGTCCAGCTGGAGAGCTGATTCAGCACCATAATTAGCCAGCAGGGAAGGGTCGGAGCCTGGGCCTAAGGTAGAGGGTGGGGCCTGCAGAAGTCTGGCGGGGGGCTGGGGGCTCAGTGTAGGGATGGAGAGTTCACAGTCTCAGGGTGGGGTAGGGGGCTCGCAGACTGGGAAGGGGATGGGAGCTCACTGCCTTTGGGTGGTGGGGGCTCCAGGGCCTCTGAGCAGTGAATTCAGAGCCTGCATCACTGTCACCGATGGTCACCCATGATTAATGTTCACAGTTGTGGAGGGGACAAGGATGCTCAGTAAGGATGCATTGGCACTGAGCAGGGGGAGGGGGCCAAGGAGAGCAGTGTTCTGAAAGCAGGGCTGTAGGTCATGTCCCTCTCGGGAGCCTCAAGGACAGGGCAGCACCCCAGGAAGAGGGTAGGTATGGAAGAGAAGAGGAGGAAGAGAAGGGGAGGGCGGTGGCCAGCCCAGTCCCAGGGAAGGTGAGGGAAGAAGTGGACCAACAGCTCTGGGGTCCAACCCCAGTGTTGGGAGGTTCTAGGCCCAAGGCTAGATCACTGTGTGATCCTCTGCTGCTTCACTGAGATCCAAATCAGACTCAAGACCCAGCCCACTGCCTGCTGCCCACTGCTGGGACTGCAGCCCCTGCCAGGGGTTTCCTTTCTGTGAAGCCGGGAACAGGCACAATTAGCAAAGTGGGGGCCACAAACCAGGGAGGTGCAGCACCAGGCCCCCGATGGTCACATGGGATCTGAGAAGACTCTCCCACCTCTGACCCTCTGTTGTACAAAGGTGCTCTGTGGCCCCAGATTCCAGCTGCCTCAAAGGACAGCTCCCCCAGAGGCTCTGCCCGGGACCCAAGGGGGGGCCTGGAGAGGCAGAGCTTTATAGCAGCCACGTGACACGGAGCCAGCAGCACCCACCTCCTCGAGCTCCTCCTCACGCTGGCGGCTGGGCTTGGTGTAGTCCAGGGGCCCGTCCCACTCATCCTGGCGGGAGGCCTGGCTGGACTGGGGCGAGGTCATGGAGCTGCTGGTGGTGCTTGCGCTGCCCTGGCGCGGGGCCACGTCAGGCGACTTCACGCCAGGGCTGCTGCTGCAGCTGCTGCCACCAGGGGGAGCACTGTCTCGCCGGCGGTGCCTGTGCATGCTCAGGTCCAGGGTCCCGTTCTCATCCACCTCAATGTCCACGGGCTGCAGCGTCACAGAGGAGGCCCTGTTAGAGGCTCTTCACGCATGCGTCTCTCAGGCGCACCCCAAGTCATACCACAGGGCCACAGCAGACTCCCCTGGGCATGCCAGCAGGAGCCAGCCAAGAACCGTGCAAGAACTGAGGACCAAGTCCCAGAAAGTCACATGGAGGAGACACATCCAGCTTCCTCTAGCCTCCCAATGGCGCTAGCCTAATACCCAGTGTGGCACCGTTAGACTGGGCACCTGAGGCCAGAGTGCATGTGAACAGCCTCCAGACTTGGTAGGGGACATGTAGGGACACGGCCCGTACAGAGGCCCCATATCCAATAGAGCATGTGTGAGGATGTGGCCTGTATAGATCCATCAGATTTAGAAGGGGACACAGTGTGTTCACAGCCCTTAGACTTAGCAGGGAATTCTTGGGGACGTGGTGTATACAGAGCCTTTAGGCTCACAGGGGACACATGAGGACAAGGCATGTGCATGGCCCTCCGACTCAGTGGGGGAAGGGTCGTGTGCACAGCCAATCGGTCACACATAGGAACAGCACACAGAGCACTCTCAGAGGAGACCCATCCACTCTCTCGATTGCCGGAGAGCCGGGTCGGGAGGGAGAAGGGACAACTGCCATTCAGGCACTGGCCACACCCAAGGACGCCTGTGCAGGCAGTGCGTGGGCCCCTCTGCAAATCCCCCAGCTCACCTCTCATTCAGCGGGCACTTCAGAAAGACCCACCTTGCTGGGGAGGACCTGTGGCTTGGTGCTGAGTGGGCCCCACATCCCCGGCTCACCACCCCCCTGCCCCGTCCAGCAGCCCTGCAGACGCACCCACCTTGCTGGGGGGGTCCTGTGGCTTGGTGCTGAGGTTCTCAGGCATTTCCCAGCAGCGTGTGGAGAGGTTTAGGATGGCGGTGGCAGCCATGTGGGCAGCGTCAGCATCGTGCGAGTAGTCGAAGCCTGCAGAAGAGGGTTGGGTACGCTTCACACAGCTGCGGGAGAGGCTGTGCCGGGGGGAAGAGGCCTTTGGAAAAGGTTTGGCTGCAAGAGGGAACAACACCAGGTGGTCTGCCATGGAACCAGGGTAGCAGGTGCAACACAGCAGGCGTTGGGTTGTGAGGTCCCTGCCACAGGTCAGTGAGGCAGGCTCGGCTGAGAGGAGCCCCTGCCACGTAGCCCACTCTCAGCCCACACTCTGGCCCACATTTTAGGCTGGGTCACACTCCGGGGATACAGTAAAATCCTCCGAAGAAATTTCCGCAGCCCTGACTTCTCAAACAGAACAGCTTGTCTGCCACAGATGGATGGTTTGACTAGCACTCAAGGAGGTCATCTTTGTAGCAACTTCTCAAAAGAACTATGCCATATTTCGGCTGACTGACGTTGCTGGTGGTGCTGTGGAGTTGGTCTTAACTCACAGTGACCTCATAAGTCAGAGTAGAACCCCCCCCACAGGGTTTTCCAGGCTGTAATCTTTGCAGGAGCAGACTGCCAGGCCTTTTCTCTGACGGAGCTGCTGGTGGGTTTAAAGTGTCTGTCTGTCAGTTAGCAGCCAAGCACTTGACTGTTGCACCAACAGGCTCCTTATCCCCAGTAACAGTCACTGCTTTGATGAGGTACCACTGCTGTTTGTTTCATGCTTGCACATTGTTCCCTAGTCCCTGAGCTGCACCGTAAAGTCACTCTCGCACATGGCATTTCTCAGCATCACCAGTAGGTTCTGGAAAGACTAAACATCTCCATGCTTGCAAACTGCATTCACCATTTCAGTGTGCCCTCAGTGGGGGAGGACCCCGAATCTCAGTCAGTTCTACAGAAGAAGGGAAGGCGGATTGTCACACTGCAGCTGGCAGCTGCATCAGCTGAGAACTTCTAGTGTCAGCATGCAGGACCCATCAATGCTCAGCAGTAAGCGGGGCCTGGTGGCCACCTCAAAAGCCACCCATCTCAACCTCACATACGCACTCAGGTGCCTTCCCACTCCGAACTCCAGGACAACAGGCTCGCAGCCCACAGATTAGTGACATAAGTGACAAGAAAAGAGAGAAAAGATTGTTCTGGAAGGTTTGCAGAGTTGGTTCTTGTCAGTAAATCACAGATTTGTTGCTAATATCACAACGAACACATTACATTGCCCAGCAAGACAGTATCCATCCAGACAGACCTGGGGAGCCCCTCCCAGCTCAGATGGCCGCAGCTTCTCCAGAGAGAACCCAGTTTGGGATGGAGCAGGGGAAAACCAGGAGCATCAGAAAGTCACTGTGGAGTCTTTGCACAGGCACATCCACAAACACCCCAGGTGTTGTTCCCCAGAAAGTGTGATGAGACAGTGCTAATGGGGTCTCCCATCCCAGAAAGGCCAGAGGGGACAGCCAGAGGCATCCGGGCTGCTGAGACTGAGCCATCCCTCCCTTGGAGGAGATCATGGCTAGCTCCCTGGGGACAGATCATTGGAGACTAGGGAGGGGTGCTTTGGCTGCCCCCTGAGCCTGGCCCCTCCAGTGACGCAGGAAGACAAACAAGGACGATACTCCCACTTACATTTAAAGGCTTTTGGTGAGGTTTCGCTGGTCTGAATCTTTGGGGCAAGCATGCGTTTGCCAAAAACCTGAGCATCGAAGCTTGCGTAGTCAAAGGTGACCTTGGAAAACTTCTCCAGCTCCTTGGCCAGGTTGGCCCTGGGTGTGGTGGGAGCCGCGCTGGGCCTGTAGCTCCCATATGGAAGGACCTCAGGCTGCTTCACAAAGCACATGGGCCTGGGAGGCAGGGAGAGATAGAGGGAGTGAGCATGAGACCCAGGGCCGGTGTGCCCCTCCCTTCTCCACCGTCCCCCTGTGGCCCAGGCAGGACCCCTATGGCCTGGGGGCATGGAGAGGTGGGAAGTCCCCTCCTCCCCATCCAACCCCTAAAACCGTGTCAGAATCCACTTCCAGTGACACTGTAGCCCTCCTCAGGTGGCCCAGGGAAAGGGCAGTGGGCTCAGATCTGCATGAGGAAGGAGGGAGCCATAGGGCTGGCAGGAAAGCTGGCCACAGCCTCATGCAGGGAGGGGGTAGCACTAAGACGGAGACCCAGGGAGCCCTTCACCCAGGTCCACTAACAGCTCGTCAGCCTTGAGAGGGCCCAGCAGGAACCCAGCCCAGGGCGAGTCACTCAGCACAAAATCTAGAGCCAGATGGAGGAGTCCAGGACCCATGACTCCTTGGAGGCTGTGGCCACCTGGGCTGTGTCCCACGCCTGGCTCTGCCCCAGCCCAGAATGCCTGACCCCCCAGTTGTCTCACCTCTGGGTTCCCCTCTCTCTTGCCTCTTGTGTCCCACCTCATCCATTTTACTGGTACTTAGATCAAGGCAAAATCCACCCAAACTCACTGCCATCCAGCCGATTCTCAGTCACAGCACCCCTAGAGGACAGAGTGGAACTGCCCCACAGGGTTTCTAGGTTGTCAATCTTTATGGAAGCCGACTGCCTCATCTTTCTCTCACAGAGCAGCTAGTGGGGTCAAACCACTGACCGTTTGGTTAGCAGCTGAATGATTTAACCACTGAACCACCAGAGCCCCTTTAAATCAAGGCAGGAAGGTATCGAATCCACAACTGACAGGAAGATGCAAGGAGCCACTAATACAGGGAGGAAAGTGCCCCAGGACATGAGAGGTGGGCTGAATGCTCTCAGAACCACCAGAGGGTGATGGGGGCAGCAAGGAGGCCCAGCTCATCAGGCTGAGGTGTTAGCATGCAGCACCAGGGAAGCGGTATGGGGAAGGGGGCATGGGGAGGGAGCCCAGAGGTGGGAACCTAGGGTGGGTGCCCAGGGGTGGGTACCCAGAGGTGGGTGCCCTAGGGGTGGGTGCCCAGGGGTGGTGCCCGGGGGTGGGTGCCCAGGGGTGGTGCCTGGGAGGAGGTGGGGGGAACTCTGGGGAGAGGCCCAGAAGAGGGCCATGAGCTAGAGGGTGTCATGGACTGAAGTGTGTCCCCAAAAGTATGGGCCGTGATCTTCAGTGGTTTAGCAGCTATGTAAAGATGTCATTTGGCAGTTAGGTAATGACATAATCATCCCCCAGATCTCCAAGGGATGCCAGGCCCACAGAACCTTGAAAAGAGACAAGGACCTTCCCCTCAAGCTGACAAAGAAAGCCTCCCTCTAGAGCTGGCGCCTTGGATTCGGACTTCTAGCCTCCTGCACTCTGAGAGAATCAAGTTCTGTTTGTTAAAGCCATTCCCTTGTGGTATTTCTGTCACAGTAGCACTAGGGCAAGAGATCTAAGATGGCACGGGAGGGGCCTCCGAGGAGGGGCCACAGGGAAGGGACCACAGGAAGGTCCCTGCCCTGTGCTGACCCCAACCAGCCACTGAGATGGCCTCTCACTCTTACACGAGGAGACAGAGATCAAACTGCTCTCTTCGCTCAAAGAAACTGGTGGGGGTGCCAAGTGAGGACAGGCAGGCAAGAGAGCAGGGCTCCTCATGGAGCTTTGCGAATGAGCACGAGGTGCAGCCAGCCCAGCTGCTCTGACGAGCATACAGACTTGGACACGTCCTGTGTCTCTGGGCCCAGTTCCCGCCCCTGTACCCAGACCACACGGGGGCTGCACCACTTAGCAGGTGTCCAGACTCAGTGTGGCCCCAGTGGCTACCACCTGTTCTTTGGAGGCCAGTAGAGCTGAGACATCGAGAAAGGGAACCCCTTCCATTCTCTGGTTGTTTCACTCACCTGAGGATCCGATCAGAATTGGAGCCAGTCTTGGAAAGGTCTCCTGTCTGCGGCTGTTGCTTCTCGTGAGATTTGGCTAACTTTTCGGCCGCAGCAATAGGACACCCAGACAAACTAGAGAAAGGACAAAGGGGAGTATGTGAACCCCAGCATCCTTCAGACAGTGGGGGTTCACAGCAGAGTGGATGACAGATGCCTGGCAAAGCCCAGGGGTAGCGTGTAGGTTCCTGCCCATTCCTAGTACAACACATATTTTTAGAGGCAGCTTCCTTTTTGGAACACACAAGGTGCCCTATGAAAGGGGTGCTCTTCACAGGTTTCTGGGCTCGGGCCTCAAAGTACCAGCTGCCCGGTCAGTCTCTGGAAATTCTGAGACAAAGAGCAAATGGACACGCAGCCCCAAGGCTCCAGGCAGGGCACCTCTCTGGACTCCTGCATGGACAGGTCCTGCCTCCCCCAGCCCCATTCAAGGGATGAGTCTTATAGCCCCTCCTTGCTGCCTCCCCTCAGCTCTGGTCCTGTTAGCTAGTCAAGACTAGCACAGGGCTCCCAGTCCATCCTGACATATGGGATCTGGAGGGTGTGGGCTCTTGGATAAACCCCAACTCACTGTCAGGGCAAGGAGGAGGGGACATCCTCCTTCTCAGGAAAGAACCTGACCCAAGACCTCAGGAGGGGGCTGCCTCTGTGAGGGTCGAGAACACTGAGCTCGGGGCCAGCACCGGACCTGGCCTGCAGGTAGGCGACAAGCCATCGCAGCCCCTCTCTCGGGTGACCCTCCGGTGGAACGTGTGCCTGTCAGGGGCAGAAGCAGGAGCCCCGGCCCACGCAGTCTGACACTTCATCACAGCGTGGCCACTATGGCGCCGGGCACAGCTGAGATGCAGGCCACCCAGCCCCTGATCAGCACCAGCACTGCCAAAGTGCAGCACCAGCCAGAGCAACCGTAACTCAAACTGGCCACGGAGGATCCTGCCAGGTCCGACACTGACTGAGAATTGGTCTGCACTGTATAGACTATCCACCAGTGCACCATACGGCCTCCGACCTTCCTCACTCCTCGAGCCTACCCTCTGGCTCCCAGTGGTGCGTGCAGCAGGCCGTGCCCCCCACCCACCCACCACCACTCCTTGGCTCAGCCACGTACCTTCTGTGGGTGTTACGGTTGCTGTTCACGTGGCCCTGTCCCGTGCAGCCGGGGGTGGGGCACTTTAGCACATTCTCGTGCATGGCCAGGACTGTAAGAGGGAAGGGTGGTGAGTATGGTCATGCAGGGAGCCAGCTGAAGGGAGAGAGACCTGGCCAGGCCAAGACTCTCCATTGCAACCCCTCCACTGTCTCCCCAGAAGCCAGCTGTTGTGCGTCCCCTGCTCTGCACTTAATTCTCACCACTGCACTTCTAACGTGAGGACGGGCATTCCCCCATGGAGCCCAGAGGCCATCGTGTTGCTGTACAAACTGTCCTTCTTCCTCCCCCAGCTCTGCTGGCCCCAGGCTGTCCTTTCCATCATCCGTTCCCAAGCATCCTGCTTCTTTGGTGCTGGGGGTCTGCTTTTGAGGGCACCTCCAGGGGCTTTGACTAGCTAGTATCTCCATGTCCCCACCCTTATAGGGCTTAGGTTGGGGCTGGGCAATTTGGGGAAGTGGAAGTGAGTGTCTGCATAGAGCCGAGCCAAGGGCAGGACACAGTGCTGACCCCTCATCTCATGGGCACCAGCTGAACCCCCGGAAGAAGTGCCCTGTGGTTTGGGCGAATGTTAGCAGCCACTCACTCTCCGGAGGGATCCTGTCTTTGTGGGGGCAGCCAGACAGGCTGCGGTGGTGTGGGTACAAGCCGGTGACATGGCCCGTGCCATCACAGCCTGGAGTTGGGCACTTGATCTCACGCTTTTCAGTTCGTGAAGGATCTGAAATATAAAAGCAGCAGCAATGAGCCAAGCCAGCAGGTGGGGGTGGGCGGGGCAAGGCTAGCGGCACATGGTTCCTCACTCTGGCGATGCAGCAAGGGGCACAGACTGTGCAGGGGCCTGAGGGACCAGCAGCTGGGCAGTGAAGGGGCCCTGCAGAAGTAGTCCTACACTAACCATCTGCATAGAAAAGATTCAGCTGGACACCACCAGATGTGAGCCATTTCCTTGCATGGCTGCTGCTCAGGTCAGTAGTGTCCACTGGCCAGAGTGTATCATCCAGCCCACAAGAGCCCCCTAGCCCTGTCCCACCCAGGCTAGCACTCTGCAGAGTGGTCGAGGTGTGGAGGACGCCCAGCCAGGAGACATTCTAGCAGGCTGCATGACTAGCAATGCCTGGGCAGGAATTTAAACCCAAATGTCAGCTACTGAACTCATTCACTCCTTCATCCCACCACGTGTCCTCCCCCAACTTGTTTCTCCTGGGGTTCCCATCTCACCCCTTGTCACCCTGAGTCTCTGTTCCCCATCTAAGGGACCAAGTCTGTCCTGCTGGGTCTGTGCCCTCAAAATCTATCCCTGAAAGCAGGACACCCTGCATCTGTTACCCCAGTGCCCTTCCCATAGCCTCATGTCACTCTGATTCTGAGCCCCCAATTTTCTGTCCCTGGGGCTGTCACTCTGTATCTGTGTACCCCAGTCAGTGCCTCTCTAAGACCACACTGATGTCTGTCCTGATCTGTGGGCTTTTTTGTGCCCCAAAGGACACTCAGAACAGGTGCCCTGTCCCTGAGTCTGCCTCACCCTGTACTGGCATCCCCTCAACTTCTGTCCTCTGGATCCATCTCCCCTGGAATCCTATCCCCATCAACGTCCCCTTGGCATCTGTCCCCTGGCTTGGTCTTATCTGGGTAGATATTCTAAGAAAATCTGTTCCCTTTGCCTAGCTTCTCCCCTGATGCCCTCAGCTCTATCTTGCACATGTCTGTGTCTCCCGATGACCCAGGTATGTCCCCCAGGTCTGCTCCATGTCTGTCTCCCACACCCCCCATGAGCCCATCGGTTCTCTTTTGTCTGCTCCTCCCTGGCCCTGCCCATGTGCCTGCGTGGGGTCAGTGCCAGAGCAGTGCAGGGACCTCACTGTCTACTTCCACCTAGGGGTCAGCCTGGCAGGGAGGGGGGTGGCTCCCTGATCCTTGGAGAAGAGAGATCCCCTGCCCAGGGAAGGAGTCAGGGGTGGGCCTTACCTTTACTGTAGTAGCTCTTGCGAACAGCATCCAGGGGCTTCCCTGCCTGCCCCTCGCTTGGGCCCTGCTCAGCTGGGACCCGGGCCACGCGCACCTGCTCGGCCTTCAGGGCAATGGCCTGCTCCAGAAGGCCGAGGTTCCCTCGGGTCATCATGTCGTACATCTCGGACTCATCTGTGACAGCCGACTTCTGGGAGTGTGCGTCCTCATCCTTGTCATCATCGGAGCGCACCTCCACAATGACTGAGTACTCGGGCTCAGGGCGTGGGGGTTCAGGGGCCTTCTGGGTGGAGGTGCGGGGCGTGTTCTCACAGATGACGTGAGAAGTTGCCTCCTCGTCCTCCTCGTCATCTTCCTCCTCTTCCTCCTCTTCCTCCTCTTCTTCCTCCTCCTCCTCGTCCTCATCCTTGTCCTCCCCAAGGCCCAGGGTGCCTTTCCGCCTACCGGACTCCTCGCTGGCCATGCCCCCCAGGGACGTGGGGCCCAGCTCCCGAGGCTGCTCACCAGTCGCCTCCACTACCTCCTCAGCATCCTCGGGCTGGATGAAGACGTCTTTTTCACCTTCATCGCTCGAGGCCCCCTCCCCAGCCTCCTCCTGGAGCAGGTGCATGATGCCAGGGCCTGGCTTGGCCCCCTGGCCCAAGTCCTCTGCAGCCAGGGTCTCCTCAGCAATCTGGCCCAGGTTGAGGAGGGATGTGGCAATGGTCTCCTGGTAGCTGCTGTAGTTGCCCTTGGAGGGACCAGCTGGGCTGCTGATGGGACTGGCTCCAAAGTGCAATGTGGCTGGGCTCCTTCCTGCAGGTCAGGACCACATGTGTGAGCAGCAGGGTACTCAAGGGTCCTAGGCCTCACCATCCCTCCCATGACACTGAAGCCTAGGGAATGTGGGGCTCCAAAGACCAGGCTCTGTGTGGTAGCCGAGCTCAGCCTCTGCTTGCACCCGGAGGTCATGAAGTTAACGTTTTCTAAGCTGAGAAAAGTACTTCGGTATTTTTGACTCGGGTTCCTCCCCCTGACCAAGGACCTTCTCAAGTCGGGTACACTTCTGTTCTACAAAGTAGAGCTACTCCCCCCAACTGACTCACCCACCACCACCACCACCACTGCTATGGAGTCAATTCCAATTCCCAGCGCCCCTAGAGGACAGAACAGGGCTGCCCCAGAGGGTTTCCAAGGCTGTCAATTTTTACAACAGCAGATTGCCTCATCTTTTTCCCATGGAGTGGCTGGTGAGGTCCAACCACCCACCTTTTGGTTAGCAGCCTAATGCTTTAACCACTGCAACACCAGAGCTCCTTCTACTACCTCAAGGAAGGGTCAAGTCAGGTTTCACAAAACTATTTCATGGTTGCCAAGCAATAAAGAACTGTATTTTTTAAAAGGAGCCAAACGTAAGCCTTGGGTATCTATGTGTGTCTGTGCTGACGGCTCTAGGCAAGGGGGCTGGTCAATGAGGACAGTCAGTGGAGGAGCCCCTCCACCAGTCAGCAAGGATGTCCTTCGGAAGGGCCCTTCCACCAGCAGCCAGGGAGGGGAGGCTTGCCTAGGGACACAATCCCTTCCCCAGGGCCAGGGCACTATCAAACCAGAATTGCCAAGGTTTGGGTGCCCCCAACACACCAGTCCTCAGTGACCCACAGGGAATAGGTCCAAGCATGAGCCCTCCTCAGTTTCTCCCCTTCCTCTCCCAGTTCCCCCAGTATCCCCACCTTCAGAAGACCCCACACAGCACCAACCACATCTGCCCTGTGAGCCCCTCAGGGCCAAGCAGACACCTGACCTGCCCAGGCTCTCACAGAGGACCAAGCCTCAAGGAATCTCCAGCCTTAGACTCGACCTATCGGGGCACACCTGTGCACAGACAGCCACACAGAGACGCGCACACACACAGAGAGACACACAGACACGCACGCACACACGCTGGCGCACTCCCCGGACAGCCTCTCTCCTAGGAAGCCACACGTCCAGACAAGCACCCCTTGTTCTCGGGCTTTCACTCGCCACACATGCCCCGCTCTCACAGGCCACACTGAGAGCCCTTTATTCTGCAGGAAGAGCACAAAGCACCTTCAGCTGGCTCGGGGCGCTGCGTCCCCTCCTGCCCGGACATCTTAGCCTCGTCCCCCTCCAGAGTTCCTTCCGACTCATCCGAGACAGAGGCGTCCTTCACCTCGGCGTCCTCACTGCTGTCACTGTCCACGCCGTAACCCTCGTCCAGAGCCAGCTTCAGGGGCTGCGGCTTCCGCTTGGCAGCCAGGTGCTCAGCCTCGGCGCCCCCTAGCCTCCGCTTCTTGGCCAGGGGGCAGCTCTGTAGGCTAAGAGGGGGTGAGGCGGGCCTGAGCCTCTCACTGCCCTTCTGTCTCTGGCCCGCACTATCTGGAAGGCACCCTTTGCTTTTGTCTTCATTCCTCCACCACCTCCCAACCAGATGATGTGAGGTGTCTACCATATTCCCCTTCCCACCTGCACTGTCCTCGGACCTGCATCCCTGCAGCACCCACTAAGGGCATGGAGTCACTGCCCTCGGAGGGCTCCACCAGCCCACCAGGCCCCCTTTCTCCGCCTCAGATCCCAGCACCCACACCCACTTGAGCCTGACCCTGCACTGGGGCACCTGAGGTCGTCAGCCACCTGAAATGACAACAGAACAACTGCTGCCCCAGCTCACATCCCCATCAACATGCACCCCCAACATGCGCCCCCAACATGCACCCCCAACAGGGGCCCCCAGTGTGTGCCAGGCAGCTGTGGGCATCTCTCATTGTGTCTTGTTCACACCTGGCAAGGCTGAAGGAGGGGCCCCCACCAGCACCACATACCCCAACTTGGTCCAGGCCTGCTGCTGCGGCTGCAGGCAGAGGCAAGGGTTTCAAATCCCCAATGACCCAGAGCAGCAGCTCAGGGCTGTGTCCCACCAACCTCATCCCAGGGCCTCACCTCCGGTGCCTGGAGTACTTTCCCCGGACGTGTCCAGAACCCGTGCAGCCCGGGGTGGGGCAGCTGCGGGAGACAAAAGGGGAGTCACTCGGGCATGGCCATGGTGGGGAGAACCAAATAGGGGCCACCTCCACCCTCAGCTGGGAAGAGGAGGGCTGTCTGCGTGTGCGGAAAGTGAACAAATTCATCCATTTAGACAAGCAGGTGCTGCTCATCACGGTTTTACTAGTGTGTGTGACCAGAGATCCGTGTGTAAGGGCTTGTCCTGAGATGCCATCGGTCCAAGGCATCCAGTGGCAGCTCCCCATTCAAAGAGAACTCACAGCCCCACGCCACCGCCGACACTGCCACATCAACAGGACAACCAGCAGGGCAGATGCATGACTGGCCAGCTCTAGGCCCTGCTGGACACAGTGCAGTATGGTGGGTGATAGGGTGGGGGAGACTCCAGAAGCCCCTTGTCCCCCACCCCACCTGTTCCCAATGGAATGCTGTCCAAGCTCTGACCATGTGGCAGGACTGTGTCCAATAGGACAGCTGTAAGGGCCTGCGGGAGGAGGGCCCAGGTGCACAGTACTGCATGGGGTAGTCATTGCCCAGTGGGCCATGCATAGGCTGAGCCAGCTTCGGCAGTGAGTACTCTGCTGCAGGCCACTAGGCTTCAAAGGAGAGGCAGGCACTGAGTCAGCCTGTGTAACAGGACTGACATCATGGCCCAGGCTCCTGCCAGGTCAGTCACCCTAAAACCCACACCCACGGAGAGGGGATGAGGGCACATCTCCCTGGACACTGAGGGGAGGAGGGCTGCATGTCCTGGCAGCAGACAACTGCCCTAACAAACACACGCTCACTGACCAAGACCACCCACCTCCAGGCTTCGCCACAACCACTGGGGGAAGGGGAGCTCTTATGAAACCAAGAGCCAATCCTTGGGGTGTGGCCACCATGGCGATCCTAGTGCTCCATGCATCGTGTTAAAAAGATGGACATTTGGTCTCTATTTGCCTGGAACAGCAGAGGAAGAAGGAGACCCAGGAATTGGAGAAGGACATAGACAGCAAGTTTGAGTGCCTCCATAAACTATTACCTCATCACCATGAGACCAGAAGAAATGCATGGTGCCCAGCTACCACTACTGAATGTTTTGGTCAAGAAACCAACAGAGATGGACCCTGATCAAAAGGAGGAAAAGTGTAGAACAGAACTTCAGACTCAGGGAAACCAGACTTCCTGGATCCACCAAGATCAGGGGAATCCTCGAAAGGGATACTCAGAAACAATCTAAACCTTGAGCTGAAATGATCCCCTAAAGCCATCGTTAAACTAAATAACAATTAGCCCAATTAATGAGCACAGTGCTCTTATAAAGAATTAGCTATATGAGCTAAACAGCTGATCTAATGCACAGATGAGAACTCTAAGGGGCAGAAAGCCTAAACTGATGGTGATGAAAGAAAATGGGCGGCAATAGTGAGTATAGTGACACAATGTAAAGTATGCAACCAATGCCAGCAGACTGTTCAGGTAGAAACTGAACAGACGTATGTCTAGTTGAGTCCATAGCCAACAAAAATTCATCAAATGTTCAAAACAGAAAGAGAGGGGAAGGAAGGAAATGGATGCGGGCGGGGGGAATGTTACCACTCCCTCCCCACTGCCCACGCAGGTCCAGCCCTCACAACTCTGCCCCACACTGCTGTCTTCGCTTCCACTCTCTCAAGAACCAGCTTTGAGACTTGTCACAAAAAGCTCCTTGTTGTTGGGATTTGAAGCCGAGGTCCCAATTAGCCAGTTAATCACTGAGTTAATCAGGCAATTAGGTGACAGCTGCAGTGGTGGCTCTGTGGGGCACTGGTGCGGCCTGAACTGTCACCGAGCAGCCACACCCCCACTCTCCACACTGTGGCTGGCCCTCCTGGACAGGAAGCTGGAAACCCCCAGCCCTGCCCCCAGGCGGCACAAGGGAGTCTGGAGCCCGTGAGGACCCTCCTGGTGGAAGGATCAACATGTGGCACACATCCCGGGGTTCTCTCCTTATTCCTCATGGGGAACGGGGCTCAGTGAGATGGAGCGGCTGAGGGCCTCCAGGTGGCCCCTTGGTGGGTGCTGGGGTGGTCAGAAGGACTTACACTCGTGAGGGTGTTGAAAAGAACATCTCTGGAGAACTTCCAGAAATATACATCTGTGACCAGAATTGAGGTGAACGGGGAATCAGCTCCCAGCCCAAGGGCCCAGGCAGGCAGCCCCAGTGAAGAGGGTCAGGCAGCTCAGGTGGCAGGAGTGGACCCTGCCCTATCTGGGGAACCTGCTGAGGACAGGCCTAAGTGACTGGCTCTTCCCTCAGGCACTCAGAGCACTAAACTCAGGGCACTGTGTACTAGCCAGCCCCTTCGGAGGTGGGGGAAGGCTCTGGCCTGAGACTGCCCCAGTGCCACCATGCTCGCAAGCCAGCAGTCTCCTGGGACTATGCTGAGTGGTGGGAGGGCCAAATAGGTTGGCGGGGACCATGGGCTGTGTCTTCTTCCTGCACACAGCGCCTCACCCCAGCACACTTTCTCCATCATGTTTGTATCCTGAACATAACTTTCCTCGTAAGATGTCAGTGTGAATGTTCTCTGCAGCCGCACTCCCAACACAGCCCTCCTCACACTGGCTTTGTGGAGTAAGCCTCAAGTGTGAGCCCTCAGTGTGAGCCCTCAGTGTGAAGCCTGAGTGTGAGCCCTGGGTGAGGTCCCTGAGCGTGAGCCCCATGGTGTGAGCCCTGAGTGTGAACTCCACCAGGTCAGGGTTTGTCACTTTGTCTACTATTAAGTGGATGTGCTGTGCACCAGCCCCAGCAACTTGGAGGCCCATGTCTGAGGCATAAACGCTTTCATGCGGCCGATCCACGATGCAGTGTGATTTCAGGAAAAGGCAGCTGTCAGCCAGCACAGCTGTGTGTCCAAGGGCCAATACGTGTCTGCTGGGTGCATGAAGGATGGTGCCTCCGTGAAGAAACTGTTTTCATTCCTGCCACATCTTTGCTCTATTTAACTCTGAGCAGTGGTTTACAAATGTGAAGGGTTGCTAGGGAAAGAGCTACTAGAAACCCGGCCTCAGTGCCCGAGCTCTAGTTTCTCCTTAAAACACCTCACTGTGACCGAGGACACAGGTGGGGGCACACACAATCTGGTAGCCCCTCACTCTGGCATCAGCATGCAGGTACAAATGATGCCAGGCAGAATTGCAGGGTGTTAGGAGGAATCACAGGGCACACAGTGGGATGGCAGGGTGCGAGGCCAGACAGCAGGGTGCAAAGTGGGACAGTAGGGTGTAAGGCAGGATCTCAGGGTTCAAGACAGGATCACAGGGTACAAGGCAAGACGGCAGGGCCAAATCTGGCCATGCTCCACCTCAGGGCACAGGGTGTCTGGCTCAGGCTCTGCAGAGAATGCCATGAAGTGGGGGTGTTGACCTTGGCCCTCACTATCCTGTACTTTCCATTTCTAAATAAACAAAGCCTATTGTGAGGGTCACTCTTCCTCCTGCTGCTTCAAAATGACAAGGGGATACCAGCCCTATGAGTGTGCCTTTACAACTTACTCCGTGACTTCGTTTGCTGCTGAAATTAATGGCCGTTATCAAAACAGAACTTTCAGGTCCCCGACCTCACAGTCATGCCCCCTCCGCCTGGGTGCACCTCCCTCACCATCCTCCAAGGTGGGCACCACAGGTTGCTCCTCCTAGAGCCGCCCCCAGCCCCGGTAATAAGGCATTGAATTTTTGAGCACACGAGGAGGACCCATCGAGGAATCAAGGACACAGGACCATCCGCCGTGACACTCCCTACCCTGACCCAGACCTGGGCTTTGGATAGTAGGACACACAACACAGTCCCTCTGGTTGGATGAACTTCGACCCTCTGAGCCTTGGCTTCCCCGCTTCACATGGGGGTGATCCACCCACCAGCAGGCTCCTGTGAGTTGGTCAGGTCTGTGGTACACCCTGCTCTCTCAAGCACAGCTCTGGACCCACGTCTGCACGAGGTCATTGGGCAAAACTCATGGTCTCTTCTAGCTCTGGGCTTTGTCTCCAGGATTATAAGACACACAGTCCAGCTTGCTTGGTGCCGTGGGTCTGTTGAGGGAGGAGGGTGTGCCCCTGAGCTGGGCAGGTCAAACAGGAAAGTGACTTTGGGGCCGCTGACTTGTTCACTTTGAAATGTCTGACCTTGTGATCTGTGAATTTCACCACATCCAGCCTGTCCGCACTGTTAGTACCAGCCACTGCTATGGAAGAGAGGGCTAGCCCCTGACTTTGTGTACCCTGGTGGGGTCCCCAGCTGCATCTGAATCCAGCCTATGTGCAGGGGTCTAAGTGTAGCCCACAGAGGCCCTCCGTACCACTGCCTCCCTCCCCTCACATTTTCATCCAGAAGGCATCTCTGCCTTCTTTGGAAAAGAAGTTTTCTTTGGAGACGAGGCGGGGCAAGATGGCGGACTAGGCAGAAGGATTGCACAGACCCTCTTCAACAAAGAAAAGGGAAACCAATTAACACAGAC